TTCCTTTTCGGGCTGAGAGGGAGGGGGTTTCCTCTTATAAAAGAGGCTAAACGCTCCTTTTCCTGTCAAGAAGGAGTTTCCCCGTGAAAATCTCCCTTTCGCCCCCCGCAGTCGCCCGTAGCGAGCGCCGTGTCCCCGGAACAATGAGCCTGACAGCTCCGGCCGGCGCCTCCTCCCCGGGAAGCCCCTTCCTCAGCCTCAAACGTGCCCTCGCACCCCCTGAGCGTCCTCGGCTGGATGGGCACAAGTGACTAAAAGTAGATTCAGACGGGAAAGCTGTCATCGTTGTCGCCTTTTCAGGGATTTTGCCCGAAAATACTTGAATTGGTATCCAAAGACAGCGCTGTGCGTCGGGTTACCGTAGTTCTGCCGCCGGTTTAATCAAGCGGCTTAACGATCCCGTGTTAAAATGGAAGTTTACCTTTCTTTCTGGAAAAAAATTTTAACTGTAAGAAATCGGAGAAAGGCAGATCCACATTAATATTACCTGCTAGTGCATTATAGCCGCATCTTGCTCCGATCATCTGCTCGGTTATGAAAGGCTGAAGTTATATAGGCCTCATCTTAATTTTTCTTTCATTGTGGTACTAAATCCTGTCAGTTTTAATCGGTAGGGCTGGATTTGTGAAGCTTTTCTGTCAGAACTGGAATATCGCGTCAAGTGTGCCTGTCCAATAACTGATTTGGATGCATAGTGATTAGGAGCCTAGTTGTCCTTAACGTCTGTAATAATGCTCTTCAAACAAATTGCAAAGCAGTTTCTCCATCAGTGAAGTGTACAGGAATTTTCTCTCAGTTACAAGTTGTAGGTAAACTTAAACAGCGCTATGACAGCATAGCTAGCAATATTGGAGGCTTGTTAACATTTGGCATTGTCTCTTAAAGTTTGTTTCACAATAGAGTGCCTGCCTCTCCCAAAATTCCAACCAAAGTATTCGAGTTTTACAACATAATTATCTATAATTATATAGAATTGGATGTTTTGCTGATTACTTGACCGAAAATGGCTTTAGTGTTTTTTTTCGTTTGTTTTCTGGGGGGGGTATTGTTACAATTTTATCTTTCTGTATTCGGAAAGTTCTGTCTTATCTAATACATAATGTACTGACATGCTTTAAATTTTTTAATTATTAGAATTACAAACTGAGGGTTGCTTGCAGCTAAGCTTTGAGATAAAATTACTGAGTTTTGACTTCATGTAAGAACTGAATTCAGAATATCACACACACATCACTTCTGTGTTTGAGAAAAAGCCTTTCCAAGAACAGTCAGATTTGAGAATACTGAAGATAAATACTGTTCTTCACTGTCAGTCAGGCTCAGTGGGTCCACCTCTTGGTAGTATGACAGCCTCTATAGGTCACTTTTTAGCACAAGTTGTGACCTAGGAGTAAAAACTTCTCGTGTTGTAAAATATTCCCTCTAAAGACTGCTTATAGTTTTGTGTTGAGGAAAATAGTGCACTTCTTAGATACACAAATACTTTATACCACGTCTAAATAGGAAAAAATAATCCTCAAAAAAACCCTCAGATTCAACCCTGCAGAATTCAACACATAGTCCCGTTCATTACTCCCGAAATACTTGAGCAGTGGCTTTAGAATAGCGCATTTTCATGTGGAAATGTTAAGGTAGCTCCTTTAAACAGATTCTCTGTACAGTAATCAGTGCTCTTTTTGCTCTTATATGGTAATACTGAAACAGTGATACTCAAAATACTTGGGGGGGGGAAATCAATCTGCAATTTAAATTTTAATTTTTAAATTTCTACTCACTATAGTAAAATACTATTACTTACTGAGTAGAAATAGTTATTATTAGTAGAATAATAATTATTATTAAAATAATAATAATTTAAAAAATGTGTGTCTTTGAAATTCTTGTGTTATTTTTCCAGACATCTCACTGTATAATACCAAATAATGTATGATTAAATGGTCTCAGGGTTTTTTTAGGACGATTTTACACCCTGGAATTGTTCTACTGCATAGCTTTAAATAATGCTACCAATTACTAGAATTACAATCTAAATTCTTTGCACAAGTACTGCATTTTTGGGGGGAGGGTCTATAGGGGAGTGGGAATTACAGTTTCTTTAATGATACTATGCTAAGGT